ACCCCTTGTGCTCCTTAAAATAATAAAAATTTATTTGCTGATAAAAAAAAAAGTATAGGATACCATGTTTAGCAGCATTTGGAATGGAATAAGTGGTTTTAGGTCATACTTTAAATTTGTACATATGGAAAGAAATATTTATATTTTAATCGGTGTGTAATAGAGGGTGAAGGATGGCGATGTACGCCAATCATCATCCATATGTATGTATAGAAAAGACTTAATCTTGTTGCCAAATGCCCTCATAATCATCTTCTTCTCCTTCCTTCCTCCCTCCCGATAAAATCCCTACAATTTTCTTTTGGTTTTTTTTTTTCAAATAGAATCCCCATAATTTAGGTTTGAACTTATTTTCTCCTCTCCTTCAATAAACTAGAACTCCTCCTCTCCTCTTTTCCTCTACTAAGACCAAAACCAAAACTAGGTTTTCTCTATCCTTTGTTTGTACTAGGTTTTCTCTCCTCCTTCTCCCCTCCTGCACTAGATTTGTCTACAAAATCACGTTAGGTTGAGCAAGGAAATCAGATGTGTAAGAATTTTTGCTCATTTTGTGGGTATTTTTGAAAGAGAGCCAATAAGGGGAAAAGGGAAGAAAATTGAGAACCTCTCTCTTCTTTTCTCTTTCTTTGTTTTATTTCCCATTCGTTATCATTTTCTTCCTATCTTTTTTGTTTCTTCACTAGTCGTCATTAGGCTTGGTTGTTTGGGCACAAGATGTTTTGCGTGGTCGTCATCAACGTTGGTAGAAAGGGGTGGGTTCCTTCTGTGCTATGAAGATTTTGAGGAAAACTTTGCAATGAAATTAAATTTGTAGCGGAATTTGTAGCATAAGTTTACTGCGAAAAATTTTCTTTGTAGAGGAATGAGAAGGATAAAATTCGATGGGTCTCTCTCAAACTCACTCACCCTTTTGTCATCCACTTAAAAATCCCTAAAACCTAAAACTAAGATTCCCCAAAACTCAAACCTCTTTCTCCCTAGATCTGAATTGAATATGGAGGGGATTTCGGCATTAGGGATATAGTCCTAAACAAGTGAGGGATAAGTTAATTCACGATGAAAAATGTATTTTAATAGTTAGATGGTAGTATGTAACTGAGTGTGTAAATTTATAAGGTGAATGTATCATTTCTCATATATATATATATATATATATTGAAGTGCCTTGATCTCTAATTTTTTTTTTTTTGAAAGTGATAATTATACTGATAATATTAGTATATGTTTTTAGGAGATGGGGAGTGTCAATCTTGGGACTTGAACTTCATGTCACCAAGGTGCTATCACTTTACTTTTGAAAGAGAAGCATGAACATTGGGACTGCATGGGTGATTAGTGCTCTAATCTTTAAATTGAAGATTAATTATAATGACTATTAAAAATCCTACTAAGTTGTGTTTTATGGATAGAGATTAGTACATACTTTGATTCAATACATTACACAATAATTCATTAAAAAGATACTATGTTTTAATATGAAATTAAAAATAAATAAACTTAAAAATGTAAGTATGCATATAAAATATAAGAATTAATTAAATTGATTGTATTTGTATTAAATTAGTTGTATTTGTATTAAATTTTAATCATTAAATCGATAGAAATTTCAAAAAGTGTGTTTAGTTATGTGCGCCAATTATTTTCATATTATATTCTTCATTTTGAAAAATAATAACCGCATTCGAGGTCCCAGAGATTCGAATGACCAATTTTCAATCTATCGGTAGGTTTCCGAAGGAGAAATTTCTCATGCATGAATTCTCTATATCGTACGTGGATGACTTGACCTTTAACCGTAACAATATATGCTACACCGAAAAAAAAAAATCCCGATTAAAAAAAAAATCATAAATGATCATCACCCTCCTCCTAGTGCATACGATAGTAGTATTCAACAGTTTGATTTGGACTCTGTGACCTGATGGCCTAGCCTGGTAGGCGTGTAACTAAACAGTATTGTAGATATGAGCTGGTAGCCCCCTCAAAGATTTTCTTCACATTATAAATAACAGAGATCATCTAACAGCTTATTCAATTCCCCAAATCATGAATGCCCCATAACAAACCCTAATAGGCATCACTGCCAAATCAAACGTTGTCAGGACCACCACGTTAGCCGCCCCTATTGGTCCTTTTCCGTTCTCTAAATGGACTGCCTGTAACCTAGCAAATTACTCCTGAAATGGTAGTGATGACTAGCAATATACATGTCAAAAGTAGTCTAGCACCATGTCAAAACCAATATTAGTGAAATTTGTTAGTGATGTTTTTGTTGTCTCCTTTCTCGCTATTTTCTTGACATTAATTTGGATTTTTTCTTTTTTTCTTTCTTTTACCAGAAACAGACATACAGGGCATACAGGGTATTGGGTACAGATATATGCCCTTTTGAAATCTGTTTCAAAGTAACTTTTGAAAGTGAGTGCATGCATGCAGTGATGGGCCTTGATGTAAAAAGACAAAGCCCATTTCATCAACTTTCTTCTTCAGGGCTCAGCAGATGAGGTGCTCTTCCCCATTGCCTGCTCCTCAGGTTTCAGATAACTACAGTGAGATATATCCCTATCTCATTCAGAGGATATTTAATCTTCCTCTTTGTGGTTAATTAGTAATACTTAACACTTTTGCCATGAATATTTACAATCCAACATGATAGTCATTTAAAATGTATCTAACCAAATAAAATTTAATTAATCAGGTAAACTGTCACATGGTATGATTATTCAATAACATTTTAATATATTTAATCTAGTTTGACTGGTTCAATATTTTACTGCAAGTCTCATAAGTCGTTTGCTTAATTAGTGAATGTACAAGGTTGAAAAAGATTAATTAAAGGATCGCGCAATTCTTTTTCTTCCTTTTTTTTTAATCTGATTATCGACCCTTTCCATCCATCCCAATTCCAAACCTTATGTTCGAGTTCGTCCAATTCGGGACCATCAATGCTCAGTTTTACAGTTGTGTATATGAACAGTGTAGTAGAATTTGAGTGCTCACAATAATGGTGTAGTGGTGTCAGCATCCAAACTTGTCACAATTATCAGCTGGGGCTGGACAACCAAAATTTTAATGAATATAATAGAATCCATAAGTTGGAAGTCACCATCGACAGTTGTAATTAATTAATTAAT